AGAAAGAACCACTCTCCCCAACAACACTCTCTCTTTTTCGCAAAATCATCAGAAACAATGGCACGCCAAGGAGAACTTTCAGATATGTCTAACATCATTTTCAGAGACGGCGAAAGAGGCGAACAGCAGCGAGCCAATTACGTTTTATTTTATCAGCGCTCTGTTCAACCAACTCGATACGTCGATGTCGCCTGCCTAACGGAATTGGGCATTCGGGAAGGCGTCCAATGGATGCTACAGAATGTCGGGCTTTGGTTCCTCTGCACAACCCCGCAGCCAACATACGAACAGTTAACCCTGGAGTTCCTGAGTTCGTTCACGTACATGACCCCCACCGGCGAAACTAATCAGCTTACCGGTGTTGCATGCTTCAGATTGTTCGGACGGGAATATCAGCTCAACCAAAATCAGCTGGCTCAGATGCTCCAATTCCACCATGGTGCTGATGCTCACTGTCGTGTTCCCTCAGAACAATTCTTTCAGGAAGCATTTGCACTTTGGAACCAACTCACCGGCACCACCGCCGATAGCTGGGACAGCCTTAATGCTACATTCATTCACCATCCCACTATCCGCTACTTTCACAGGGTTGCTCGGTAACACTATCTTCGCCCATGATAGCAACCACAAGGTTAACTCTAAGGAACTGTTTTTTCTGCAATGCGTCTTTGCGCCGGAACCCATCAACGCCACCCCATTTCTGTTGGCCCACATCCAGGCAAACTGTGGTCGAGACTCAAAGCCTTTTTACTTCGGAGGTATCGTCACTTCCATTGCCTTATCACTCGACCTCGGCGATCGCCTACAGGCCCTCCCGTCCATACCTCCTGTTTTCCTTGATATCGACTACTGCCGTTCTTCTCACCTTATCAAGGTACGAGCCGACGGAAGATATCATCCGGTGGTTCGCAACCGCACCATCCGCAGCATCATCCTTCCATGCCGTGACCGTGCTCACCCTCAGAACAGAGTCAACTGGCTTTTTAACCCAGCGGCACCCGAAGCTAATGCTGTAGCACCTCAAGAGAATGTTCAAGTGCCCATTGATGAGGTACAGGATGAACTGGACCGCGCTGCTCAGGTTGAAGCTCCTCAGCAACCACCTCCTGACGGTCCTTCCTCTCGTCATCGCCTCTGTCCTCAAACCGAAGCTACCAACGAAGATATCCTTCACGCCATTTAGCAACAGAACGAGACCGCCGTCCTGCTTGAACGGCGTCAACAAGAACAACATCAGCAGGGGATAGATTTGTTGGTCGCCCAAGGGGAACGCCTCAACAACATAGTAGATGAAATGACCGCTTTAAACGTCCGTGTGGACAACCTACGCGACTACATTTTTCACACCGGCGTTCTACACCCCACGACCCGAGGAGGACGACATCGCGGAAGAGGTCGCGACAGAGAGTAATGTTCTTTTTTATTTTCTGCATTTTCTTGTTTTCATTGTTGTACACCTTCCACTATCGTTTCAAAGCAGTGAGGACACTGCTTGAGATGGTGTGGGAGCGGCACTTTATTATCCATTTCTATTATGTACGCTATTTCCTTTTCAAATTAATTTCAATTCAGTAATTTCAATTCAATTCAATTTCAGTTCAATAAAGCGCATTTCTTATATTCTTTTCCGTTACAAGAGCTCCCCCCGTTTAATCTGCTTTATTCAAGCTATACGAAAATTTTTTCGATGCAAGCATCCGATGCGCCAAGATTAAGGCCGAGTCAAGGAAACTCGAGAACAATTACTAACAATACGCATACCGCTTTGACACCTTAGACCTCCGGTTTATGCAAGTCAGTTCCACTACCTACTGTACCGAAGCCTCAGGTTCGAACACCAAGCAAAGCCCTTAGTAGTTTATAAAAACAGTCAGCACCGTCGTGAGCGCGTACCACGTGGAAAGTCGATGCAAATAAGTGATCGGTAAGATCGTAAAGAAAAGAATTGCTTCGCAGCCATATAGTGATTATCTACCTCTGACATCTCGGAATAGCAAAAAGAAGAAGAAAAAAAAGTAAGCTCATAAAAGAAAAGAAGTTCTCTGTCAGTTGGTCCATAGGTCTTTGGTTATGGACTCGGTAGGGCGAATCACGGTTCGATCCCCCACAACTTACAAAGTGAACATATCATAGGGTACCGCACTCGTGCACCAGACCCCGTAGAAAGAAAGGACCGAAGTCACTAACAGGCTATTCCACTACATGCCCGCAACGAGTTAAAGGGCTTAATGTAATTGCGCTGGAACGAAACTGGGTAAAACTTGGTACGATGAACTTAACGCCGAGCTACAGCAGCATGATTGGAACCGGCTCGTATAAGGAGGAGGCCTTCGAGAGCATTTCCGCTTAGTGTCAAGTTCGTATGCTTGTTGTTATGAATTTTCTCCGAATTCCCGACTCAGCGCCTCTGAAACAACTTTGAAAACACAAAGGAACGCATCGTGTAGCTGCATCGTCTCAGCTCTTAGGCTTTTTGCTTGAGGACAAGCAAAGATTCAAGTTTAGGGGAGTTTGATAACGCGAAAACGTATATATTAAATGCCATAATTTCATGCTACTAACGGTCGATTTCACCCCGATTTCGTACCATATCCGCATTGTTTGTTAAATATTTTGCAGGTTTACGAAGTCAACACTCAAATGAAGCAAGACAAGGAAAACAAATACTAAAAGACTCATAACAGAAGAAAAAGGACGAAAAAGTAGCAGATGTGAACTTTGCTGATATGACGGTCGTCACAGGTCTCTTACGACCGTCACGTGCGTGACGACCGTCATGACCGTCACGAACGTCATAAGCTCCACGAGCGTCACAGGTCCCTTACGACCGTCACACTTACAAATTCTGCACAACGTCCACTTCTTAGAACGTGAAACAGAAGCCCAAAACAGAAGCACGACTCCCTGGATTTTCTGACCCTCAATTGCACATCCAGAAGCAGTTCAAGTACAAATCATTCACTATAAAAGGAGAGATTGGGGACTGAAATAGGGGAGCCGCATTGAAGACCACGAAGTGCTTCCGGATTTACTAGAGAGTTTTTTCTTGTTTCTGCTTTCCTTTCCTTTTGTTTCCTTTCCTTTGTTTTCTTTCCAGAATTCAATTGTAATTTTCGTTCTTTAAATTTTCGTACAATTAATAGTCACCAGAGTAATCCTGCCGACATTATGGAGGACTATCCAAGTGCCGAACCAGAATTGTTTACAGGTTCCGTTATTATTAATTAATTCTATTTGCTGTAATATGCATGTTTACAAGTTCTGCTATTTTAATTTAATTATGCATGCTTTAAATTTCATGTCTAGCTAAACCGCATCGATCAGTATGTAATGAACTAGTAGAACGAGGTTCGATAATAACCGGCGTATTTTCCCTTTTTTCAAACTTGTTTCTGGCTCTAGTTTTTAAATCAAATTTGTTAAACTAAACTTCGTCGCGACAGCGAGAATTTATTTAAAGTAATCTCGCCACGACAGTGGGAGATTCACTAAGGTATGAACCGACATGCGAAAGTTGAGGCTAGGACCAGATAGTAAAAACTAGACATCTATTTTAAACACAGCGAAAACACTTTAAAAGAGATTAGAACTCAATGGTTTTCAAAAATCAATTTTAACCCCGAACGGGATAGCGAAAGCATACGTTCCGCCTTAGAGTTGCGACTAGCGTCAACAACCATTGTGAGACAAAGGTCTTTAAACCGTTATTTTCTTCTGAAAACCATTTTGAAACTATTAAACCGCGCCGGTAACTTATCGAATCCTCGAAGCACTAGGTCATTGCATACCGATTCCCCGCATTAATATTCTAAGAAACCTTTTAGCATTTCTTTAACTTAGCCTTTACTTTTGCATATTTCCCCTTAAACCATATACGACCTAGCTAAACACAGTAACGTCCGAGTACACTAGATTGATTACGAGTCCCTGTGGGATCGATATCTTTATTACTACGCGATAGACTGTACACTTGCAGTTAATTCGATTAGACTCGGAAAGTCGCGACCACGACTCATGAGCCAGCAGCCACGACTCCAACTCCTCTAACGAGCTTAATTATTCTTTACTGTTAACAGCGGCAACGATGGATTCGTACTCCTCAGGGAGAAAATCAAGAACAATCTCAATTAGGTTACGAAGAGGAACTGGATCCCCAATCGAAGTCAGTGATTCACTGATTTCACGCGCACGAGCCATAAGTTCCTCAATCGTGAGTGTTCCTTTCGTGAGACGACGTAAATCCGATCACAGCTGTCGCGCTTTGGTAGAGAGAAGCGTGTTGAAGTACCGATGAATCTCCGTCCAAACTTGCCAAGAATGCTTGCAATCCACAAGCTTCGGTAGAAGTGAATTGGAGATGGTGGATAGCAGCCAGGTACAGATGAGTGCGTCATGTTGTTCCCATTCCAAGTACGCTGAATTCGCACCGTGAAGTGCTGAATCGGAATCGGACGGTGACCGCTGTGGAATCACCGGAACTGTAACAAACCGTTGCAGGCGATGACCGCGAACAACGCCATCGATCTGTTACTTCCCCTGCTTGAAGTTCTTGTCATCAAGCTTCATAGAAATTAAGTGAGATAGCTTCACTTGCGAAGACGGAAACAAAGACTCTATGGATCGAAAAAAATCAAGCTCTGGATACCATGATAGAGTTTGATAAAGTAGAGAATTAGAATAGGTTGAGAATTTTTCATTAAGTTCAATGTATTCAATGTGATAAATGTTGATACAAGGGGCTCTTTATATATAGAGAGATCACCTAGATCTAACTAACTAACTAAGTGAAGCATCTAACTAACTAACTGAAGCTGCTATAACAAACTGGACAACTCAGCAAGAGGAAAACAGAGATCTAGAAATGACTAACTAACTCTATCTTTAACTATTCTATTAACATCGAATATTGCATTTGCAAAGTTGCAATGGTGCATAGCACTGTAGAGTTGGCTAGAGCTACTAAATTATCATTAAAGCACAAGTTAATTGAGGAAACTTACTTGCATGAATCATAAACATCAGGAATTTGGGTGATATCAAAGCGTCTGTGCAAGAAACACAATGTCAGTGAGTCTGCTAATCCATTACACATACAAATATGTAACTTATAAGGCACAAGGCACGCGAATTCATGAGTTCATTAAATTGTCAAGTGAAAATGTGGTTTGAAAATTGAAATTACAAACATTTATCAATGTTTAGTTAAATAAAAGAAATTTAATAAATTTTTATTAAAAGCATTTTATCAGTTGTTTAGCATGCTACAAACATACTCGACACAACTGAAAAGAAAAACTATATATTTTAGCTGAGAAAATTTAATAGTAGATGCATGTTTATAAGATTTAAGAATAATTTCATGTCATCAACTATGAATAAGAAAATATATGAATGACATATTTATAACTTAGCAGTATGTAACGAGTTTTAAGTTCTCAAATTGTTTCTAAAAGTTTGGATATGATTTTGGTCATGCATGTAACAAACCTTTCTTTCATATTAACAACATTCGAAATCAAATAGTGTTAATATCTAATATCAGAAATAAGATTGACAAGATTAATCCAAACAATGGAAATGCTTACTCCTTGCGTTCATTATACAAGTCCCTTTCAAGCTTTTTCCAGCGGGCATACATCAAGAGAAAACCCTCACTACCACAAGGTAATCCAGCAGCTATACGGTCAATATCAATATTTGTCTTGCCAAGGGCTTTTGCTTGGTCATAAGGAGGAATGATATCATATAAGCTTCTTTCAGTAAGCTGCTCATCTTCACCTTGTGCAAGTAATCTAACTTGTTCAGTGACCTTCTTAGTTAGCTTTACCTGGGTAAAGGCAAAATTGAGAAATAAATAAAAGACTACCAATTAACTATTTTGCTAGGCTAGCTTTACCTGCATTTAAGCAAGAACAATCTAGCCTTTTGTTAATATTGAAAACCTAGAATGAAGAACAAGAAATTTGGAAGGGATAACTGATGGAGAGAACACTATCCGGGATTCATAGGAAACATAGCAAATAATTTCCTTGAATTAGTGGTCAACGTGGTCTGTTTACTTTGCTAAAATAAGATTGTCTATCCTGAGAAGACTCTCATGTCTCTCTAAAAACAAAACCAACCCTATTTATGTTCAAATTATAAGGAAATATGATAATTAAACTTGCAAAGACATTAAATGAAGTTCAGGCAGGGCCCCTGTGAATTGCATTAGTGATATGAACTCAACATTACCCAGTCAACATATCTAAGGCATATGCTACTGATATTTTATGTTATTTGAACATGTTTGTCCGTTTAATTTCATTTCATTTAGTCAGCTTACTCTCCCTCTTCCTCTCAATCATTCCATCAGTTAATTCTGACTAGTTTGTAATACAAGTGAAGAGTACTAGAAAAACAATTCGAACAAGAATTGAATTATGAGGTCTCTATTGCCTTCAACCTCCTTCATCCACCATATGTACTATTTCGGCGTCACCTTATCACATTTGTTGCATAAGTTATGCATAAGTTAAAGCTTCTGGTTTCTGTAAGTTATACATAAGTTTGTGTAATCTAAGTATGTATAAGTTAAAGCTGCCGGTTTCTCATTTTTCACATCTGATATCGCTATGTCATCTTGGTAAAAGTGTTGGTATATTTTACCCTATTAGACTCAACAATAGAGATATATATTCCTTTGATATTGCCAATTTTGATGTTTAGGTCCTAATAGTCTTGTTCCCTTCTTTTAGGATTGAGGTATATCAAAACTTAATAATTTGATATATTATATTTAAGAATATACAAGTGCTAATCTCTTTAAACATGGTATTTTGACCTAATAAACCTTCCTAAAGATCCAAACTTAAATTATTAATAAAAATAACAAACATAATTATTTATAAAACTCCCCCTCAAGCTGGTGAACATATATATCTATCATTCCCAGCTTAAAAATAATTTCTCCAAAGTTATTGTTGTTCAACCCTTTTGTTAGAAGATATGCAAGGTTGCTTTGAGAGGATACATATGGAGTGCAAATAAAACCATTGTCTAATTTTTCTTTAATAAAGTGTCTATCAACTTCAATATGTTTGGTTCTGTCATGTTGCACTGGATTATGAGCTATGGTGATAGCCAACTTATTATCACAATAAAGTTTCACCGGTTCATCGCATTTCATTCTCAAATCTTTAAAGATTGATTTCAGCCATATTAGTTCACATATCCCTTGTGCCATTGCCCTGAACTCTGTTTCAGCACTAGGTCTCGATACTACGTTTTGTTTCTTACTTTTCCAAGTCAAAAGATTTCCACCTAGGAAAGTGCAATAACCTGTAGTTGATCTCCTATCCGCAATTTACCCTACATAGTCAGCATTTGTATATGCTTCAAGACCTACACTCCCATTTCTTTCAAACAAAATTCCTCTACCAAGCGTTCCTTTCAAATATTGTACAATTCGATGTGCAGCTTGTAAGTGAATCTCCTTTGGTCGGTGCATGAATTGGCTAACTAAGCTAACAACAAAAGCAACATCAAATCTAGTATGTGAGAGGTATACAAGTTTTCTGACTAATCTTTGATACATTTCTTTATCAACCGCAATATCTTCTTTTGCATTTCCCAACTTTACATTTAGATAATTGGAGTATTTGCAGGCTTGCATGCTGTCTTGCCAATTTCCTGTAGAAGATCAGTAATGTATTTCTGTTGAGATATGAAAATTCCTTTCTTAGAGTGTTCAACTTCAATTCTCAAAAAGATTTTTTTAACTTGCACACGGTGTTGGAGGTGTCATGTTCACAGAATCCAGGAGGTACATCCATGTAAATTTCTTTTTCAAGTCCACCATGAAGGAATGCATTCTTCACATCTAATTGGTTTAAGTTCCAATTACAATTAGTTGCTAAAGATAATATCACCCTAACTGTATTCATTTTTGCAACTGGAGCAAATGTCTCTGAATAATCTACTCCATAGGTTTGAGTAAATCCTTTGGCTACCAATCTTGCCTTGTACCTCTCAATCGATCCATCTGCCTTGTATTTAATAGTGTATACTCACTTACACCCTACAGGTTTCTTTCCATTTGGTAAAGAAATCAATTCCTAAGTATTTTTCCAGTGCCTCCATCTCTAATTCCATGGCTTGTTTCCATTTTCTGTCAGACAATGCCTCAGATAAAGAGTTGGGTAGTTTTATAGTGTTCAAATTTGTAAGGTAGGCTTTATGGGTAGGTGAAAGGTGTTCAAAACTTAGGTAGTTGGATAGAGGGTAAAGTGGTTGTTTGGTACAGTTTTTAGTAACTTTCTTAAGGGCAATTGGAAGATGTAAATCTTGATAGTGTGATGGTAGTGGTGGTGGAGTTGAATTGGATGTTGATTCCTGTTCGTGAGAAAATTCAGAAGTTGAATCACTAGAGTTAGAATTTATCTCATGTAATGTCGGATTAGACTCTTGGATATGAATAGATTCAAGAACGGTCTTCCTTCTTGTATATACTAAATTCTTCCTATATCTTACATCAGTTTCATCTTTTTCAGAATCACGTTCAGTTCCAAGAGTAAGGTCAGGAAGTATAAGGGACTCATCTTCCTTATTTACGTTCTCCTCCTGAAGATGAGTTTGAACAAAGTAACTTTCTTGTTCATGGAAAGTGACGTCTCGAGAGACAAAGAACTTGTGAGACGGTGGATAATAACATTTGTAACTTTTTTGGATGGAAGAATATCCTATAAAGACACACTTTAAGGCTTTAAGATCAGTTTCCCTCTACCATCACTATGAATATGGACGAACGATATACACCCAAATATCTTAGAAGTGAGGTTACTAGAAGTAGACACATTAGGATAGAATGAGGATAAGACTTCCATAAGAGTTTTGGAAGCAAGGACAGTAGAAGGTAAACGATTTATGAGATACGATGCAGTTAAAACTGCCTCGCCCCAATATTTCTTGGGAACTTTATTTTGAAATATCATAGCACGTGTTTGGTCTAATAACAAATGCCCATTTTTTCTTTCAACAATGTCATTTTCTTGGGGTGTTTTAACACATGAAGACTCGTGAATGATACCTTTATTTTGACAAAAAGAATTAAGATTATAATTAAAATAATCCTTGGCATTATCAGACCGAATCCTCTTAATACTCATACCAAATTGATTTTTAATCATAGAGAGAAATTGAGGAACCACATGACTAACTTCAGATTTTTGTTTAAGTAGACCCAAGTAACCTAAGTACAATCATCAATAAAGGTGATAAACCAACAGACACCTAAAATATTTGGAATATTAGATGGACCCCACACATCTTTATGAATTAGATAAAACAAAGAAGTACTATTTTTACTACTAATGGAGAAACGTACATGCTTGTGTTTAGCAAGCTCACACACCTCACAATGAAGACTCTTAACATCTAATGTTTTAAATAAAAAAGAAAATATCTTCTTAATGACTCTAAAATGAAGGATGACCCAGACGAAAAATGGTATAAGAGAACCTTCTCCCCATTGGTCTTTATCGATTCTGACAAAAAGGAATTGATGCTGACAAAATATGGGATTGAATCTTTGTTATCCAAGTAGTAAAGACCATTCCATTCTCTAGCACTTCTAATCGTCCTCCCCGAATTCTTAACTTGAAAAACACGAGTTATTATAGAAACTAACATTACATGATAGGTCTTTTGTGAGTTTATGTATGGAAATTAGGCTAGTAGTCAATTTTGGGATATGAAGAACGTTGTTAAGAGTTATGGATTAATTAAGTTTAATTGTTCCTTCACCTACTGCAGTTATAAGAGTGTCATCTGCAGTGGATATTTTTTTGTTCCTGGGACAAGGTGAATAGGTGGGGAAGTGTGTAGGTAAGGCTGTCATATGGCCAATGGCTCCAAAATTTAATATCCAGTATTGTTTAAAAGGTATATTTGAGGCATTAAGTCTAAACGAAAATGGAGAGTTGTCAAATGAAAAAGATAATAGAAACGTACCTGGATGTATTAAAGAACAAGTACATGTTGGTTTCTCCAACTTACTTAGGAGAGATCTCACTTTTTCTACTTCACTTAGGTTAAGGTGCACCCCTCCTTCTAGACTGTCTCCACTAGTACTTCCAGCCATGTGTGCATGTCCTCCCTTTCTAGATAAATCTCTTTTTTGTCCCCACTCTCTATTAGGAGGCCACCAATCAATTTCCAACATTTTTCTCGAGTATGACGAGGCTTGTTGCAATAAGTACACCACACCCCTTCGCCCTTCTTCTCGACATAGGTTTCTCCAAATTTCTTCTGATCAACTAACATTGTTGAACTCTTCTCAACTAGCAATGTTGAGCTTTTCACAAATGGTGGTGTCAGCATTAATTCCCTTCTGCTTTCCTCACTCCTCACTATAGACACTACATCATTAATGTTTGGTACTTTTTCTTTGCCAAGAATTTGTACTCTAACATGATCAAAGTCAGAGTTGAACCTTACAGAAAGTCGTAGACCCTATCTTGTTCGATGTACTCCCTAAGTTTTGTTGCATCTGCTGTACATTCGGTTTTGATAACTCTATAGTGGTCTAACTCCATCCATAAGGCTTTGAGATGATTAGCGTATTCTGTAACTGTTTTGTTGCCTTGTTTAGTTCCAAGTGTTTTCACCTTCACATCATATATTTGGGCCGCATCTTTGGCTTAGAATAAGTTTCTTCTAATGTTTTTCAAATTTCTTTTGCCGTACTTAGGAACATGCGAGTGTCTAATTTCTGGAGTCATTGAAGCCTATAACCATGCAATGATCACTGAATATTGTGTATCCCACTTGTCAAATTTAGGATCTTTCTCTTTGGGAGGTGCATCTGTAAGGTTTTTTGCTTTTCCCTTACCTTTTAAGGTTGTTTTCACGAGTTGAGACCACTTTAAATAATTCTTTCCATTCAATTTGTAAACTTGAGAAATAATAGGTAATTCTGATTCAGATTTGTACGCATTTGTTTCATTTCAGCCATAGAAAAAATTTAGAAACAAATGCAAGTGAAAATCACAAGCGAGTACGAGGTTGTTCAAACAGTGGAAATGAACAGAACCGCAAACAGGAGTGATGAACAGTGCTGAAAAGTGTGCCCACTATAACCACTAATTAACAACACCGGTTTAAAGCATGAAATGCATAAACAGGTTTTGAAAAGCAAAAACATGAAAATTCTAGTCTAAAATCAGAGAACCAGATAACTTCCCTAATACAGGATGTGCATTAGCCTTCCATCCAAATTTCAGTGAGAGAAGTTTAAGGAACTAAGACTAAGCAAGATTTACAGACTTACCAACTCAGGAAGTAATTCTGATGCATTGGGTGGAATTCCATTCCCATCAACCATCCAATGATATTCTTGTGATCCATTCCTATCAACTGTGTTTGCACTAGAGGTAATGATTTCATTCAATCGCGCCTAAAAAATTACATTGTGAACAATAAATAAAATAAAAGGTATCAGTGTTCCATTGATACTTAAATCTTATCAGAAATATGATCACAAATTGTATGAGCAAAACACACCAATTGTAAGTAATTTGGACTAGTCAGTTTTGGCCAGCAAACTGGCCCCTTCTTTAATTACTTTATGTCTTTACCAGTAAATTGCTTCAGACAAAGATCTCTTGTTTGTATACAGAATTAAATATATTAATACATACCTTTCCAAAGCTTTGCTTATTTTTTTAATTTCTTTTACACTTTGTCATCTTTACAGAAGTGTAGACTTGTGTGTAGTATTACAGTGTTAAAGTTTATCATCAAACATTCCCCCAGAAATATTTGACGAATGAAAGATCATTCACAATGTGTGCCATTTAGCCCTGTATAATTGTAATTTTTTTCCTTTTTCTCTGTACTTTGATTATTTTCTGGATTTGTCCCTTTAAGTGTTTTTTTATTCTCAACTCAACATTATTTATATATATTATTTCATCCAATCAAATAATTGATATAAATTTATTTTAATGGTAAGCAATGAATCATATAATTTTTTGGGTAAACGCATACTGGAAAACGTTTAATGAATGAACAATATCAACAAGTACAAAATTGTTGACAAATTTCCAGTATGCCACTTTGACTCTCCCCTAGCCAGCTAGTATTATCTACCTTCTTTGGACCATATAATGATTAATATAAAACTTTTGTTCAAATTAGCTGATCAATTTTGTTGGTCCTGGGATTCAATGTAGTCAAATAATAGTTCAATAGATATGAAAAAGGCTTCAAGTATCTATCCATCTTTTAAATGCAGAGCAACAAATCAAACCATAATCTATTTTCAAAATCGTTGAAATGCATGTAATCTAGAAGGCTGTAAAACCAGAGAGATTGAAAACCTTGGCTTGTTCCATTTCAATACTTGCATTTTCAAGTCCATCCAACATGGAGGAGTCTTTGCTAACAAGGGAAACCTTTAAAAAAAGATAACCAAATTAGTCAAACATACTGACCAAAAGAAAAAGGATCAATTATTTTCTTCAGAGGAAAAACACAAACCAGGATTGGTGTAAGCTGCCCTTCTAGGTCAAGAAGACCTTTGGCAAAACCAGCTGCAGACATCTGTAAATACAGGCTATGAAAAAATGATTAACATATGATGCCAAAAGGCAAATTAAGCTTGTTAACAACATTGTCCATAGATCAAACAGAAGAAATAAATAAAAAATACTAATTAAAACCATTTATAGCCTTCTTTTGATTTGGAGGAAAGATGAGTGCGACTCAGAGCATACCTGCACACGACCCTCATCAGAGCTATAAATCTTAAGATCATGGCGGTATGTACTATGGAGGCGAAGAAGCCCTGTACCTTCTCCTGAAATATTTAATCACGCAGATTTGTCTTTGTTATACAGGGTGCGGCCACTGTCAAGTTCATGAATTAATAATGCAATATCCTGTTAGTCACTGTAACAAATATTACATGGACTAGAACACAGTTACCGATACCCTCAATTTTTGCATTGTAACATTATTGTATTGGCATCAAGTATGCATTCACACACCGCACAACCCAACCTTGCTTGGGTAATATAGAACAGTGGGATTATGAGAGACTTCTTTGAATACACAGGCACATCTCCTTACCTAGTATTTTACAAATGTAAAGATGTGTATAATAGGAAACATAAGTAAATTATAAAGTAGACTAAGAAAGGAGAAAACTACCAATTAAGAGTAGACACTTCAGATATTAATTAATTATATATTAAATATAATAATGAAAGTTGAATTATTAAAGAAATCATAAAATAACCAAATCTATATTTACTTGAAGAAGAGCTATTTGGGATTTACCTGGATATATTTTATTTCGGAAATATCTTCCCAGTTCTTCGGCCTAAAAAAGCAAAAAAGTAATTAGAGTGACTGGGAAAAATTAGAAATGAAAGTTTACAACTTATTCTCCCCCATAATGACAGTACAATCAATTCAAGTCTCAAATGGAGTAGAAAATATTTTTCTTTGATGACTCATTATGAACCTGCTTTCTCCCAGCATGTGTAAGAACACCACCATATTTAAGAACCATAAGAGCTTCAACTGGGTGTTCTTCAACTTCACCATTGCTTTTTGTCACTTTGACCCACTTTAGGGGCTTTAATTGAACCTTTCTATATATGCCAGAGAAATGTCCTCCCTGATAATGAACAGAAAAGGCAAACAAATAAAACAACTCGAAAGTCAAGACTTATCTATAAATAAATAAATAAATCAAGATTGCAATTATTCACGTTTAAAAGAATTCGCAAGAGTATATTTGGTATGGCATGTCACAACTAACAAACTATATCTTGTATTATGCTTAAAAGAGAAACATCATTAATTTCATTTTTCATGATTGACAAAGACAACCCATGGAGAAACATTTCTCTTCAGTTTTCCTTATTCCCCACAAGAAGACATCACTTTCACTCATACGACATAACAAATACTAAGAAAACAATTATTCATTTACACCAAAGTTTATGCTTCCAAAATTCTAATTTCCAAGATGGATAGATCATAAAAAATTTCGAGTAGAGTTGTATCTGACAGGTAATTTAGAATTAAAATTTCTCTTGTGACATCTAAATATAAATTCAAGTAAAGGGAGGTATAAGTTGATGCAGAGAATTTGAACGGCAAATAGGTTATGATCCACAGAAATCTAGTTTCAAATTTTAGCTACTAGTGGTTTCATACAACAAAACATACTCATGGTGTCACAGAAGAAATATTCTCAAGAGAATAAATAACCTCTTCAAGAACTGCTTTGACTTGACGAAGCTTTTCAGCATGCTCAACATCTTCAGCTTCATTATCACTTTCTAGATCTGGTCTAAATAAACACATACATAATCCATTCAAAACTCCAGTTTAGCATAATTGTAGGATACATTTAAACCCAAGCATTGCAAAAAAGGTAATACATTGTCTATGATATTTTCCACTTCTTATCCTCTTTTAAGGGAATATCTTGTCTTCCTTTATATTTCTCTTCTACAACATCATTGTTCTTTCATGGGGGAAAAGGTAGATTCTACTTTCCTTCCCTCCTTGCTCGTCAATCCAATCACTCACACTAATTAAAAGTGTGAATAAAGGCATTCATGTGAAAATAGAAAGTTGAACAAACCATGTTTTTGTTTAATGAAAGGGAAATCTCAAGATATATTTTTTGAAAATGTAGCAGATCATTAACAAAATATGAAATTTGATTAATCTTGGGTGTGAAGTTAAAAGTGAGTTGCATATAATGCTAATGTGATCAATATTGAAGCCTATTCGGGTAAAATACCTGGTGCGAGGAACCAACATTCGTGTGGCATCTAACAGATCTTGCAGCTGAACAGCAGTTTTAAGTTTTGTCTGTTACAGAAGAACATTAGATCATCCACAGAGGGTTAAGAATTCTGTAGCTCATATACAATTTAATAAAATCTACTGAAGCACTACAAAATAGAGCTACCTCAGATCTTGGTCGGCCACCGTTATATTTCATTATTAAGTTCAGTAGCTTTTCCTCAGTAACCTTTAACTTCACCTTCTGTTTAGGAGTTCTATCACCACTGCCATAAGAAAAGAGTATATAAGAAACAATATCACATTTAACCAATTGAATAAAAAAGGAAGTAGAACATACTGTCGAATTACAGCAATTACAGATCGTAGTTCCTCAGATTGTCCAAAGTCTCCAATAATACCACTACCCTGACGAGTTAGTGGTTCAGAAGGTGGCACTAACTCATTTACTTTCCATGGTAGAGTAGGTGGAATTGCAGAAGAAAGATGAGGAGCTTTTACATCTAGCAACATCTTCCGCAGCACACAGGCAGAATCATCATAATACCTTTAATAACAACATGAGAAAATAATGTGAGTTTCAGCAAATGAAAATTTTGGTAAACAAACTAGGTATCATAACGAATATATATTAAAAAAATAATATTTTGCAGCAAAATTTTCGTTAAAATGTATTGAGAATTGGAGACTGAGACAGAGAAAAATAGAGAACTTGATAATTCCAAAAAGTTTCTGTTTATCATTCACTCGTCTTATCATTCTTATGTATCAAAAACTTGTTTTCCAAAATAGTTTAAGGATAGAAGACCCAATACAATCCCCGTTCAAATAATTCCCATGGGAGAGATATTCTGACTAACAAAAAGAAAATAACTAATAATATATTTTGAACCATGCTGCCAAAATAAAAAACAAACTGCCAAAAAATCTAATCCAGAGAGTTACTTGTGTGAGTTTTTAACAAAGCTCCATCCATTCACATCACAAACATATGAGCGTCCCTCACTTCTCAAGAGATCAAACCCACAAACCTGCAAGAAAAAAGAAAAATTATAGCAGGACATTGAGCAGAATAGAGAAATTACTTTCTTTTTATTTACATGAAGAAGAAGCCATTTCAAGCCTTATTGTCAAAATAGTATCACATGTAATAGACATAAATCCATAAATTAATGTGGAAACTTATATAATCCACCTACATTTTACCAACCATAATATTTAACTCAAGGATCATAGTCCAAGACTTGAAATTTTTATAAAGTAAAAAAGTAGAATACTAAATTCTCACTAGGATTCCGTTGGAAGAACATAATAAGGAGCTACACTTTCCAATTAAATAAAACAAAATTCATTTTTCAAAACAGCATACCGCTTGCCTGAATGCAATGCAAACCTTTCTCGCCATTTCTTTCTCAGCTGGAGTCAGTAACACTGGATACCTAACCTGCCAAATGAGATTACAAATATGCTTTTTTTTATTTAAAATTTAAAACATACACAACAAATACTAATTGATATGATTTATTAATTCAAATTCTAATTTGTGATTCTAATCCTAATAATTAATATATGAATTTGATTTATTGATTCAAATACTCCCTCTCAAGCTAAAACATATAAGGTTTAAGCTTGTTACAATGCAAGGATGTATTATAGAGAAAATGGAAACAACAGGGCTGTAGTGGCGGCTAAAAAGTTGTACTGCATCTGGATATGACGGTTAGGCTTGTCGAATGATTCTGAATGTGGCTGTGGTGACATTTAAGCAATGAATCCTACAGGATAAGGCGTGACCAGTTGAACCACAATTGCATGCAGAAGAAACACCCCTAAAGAAAAGAGAACCACGAGATGAAGAGACGTGAATGCAGTCAATGCATGGAGATGACTATAGGAATCATAGTTAGGCTTTTTGGATGACTCCAAATGTGGCTGTGGTAATTTTCAGCAATGGGTCTCAGGATAAGGCGAGACCGGTTGAACCACAAGTGCATGCAGAGAAAATACACCTAAACGAATGAGAAGCACGGGATGAAGAGACATGAATGCAGTCAATGCACAGAGCTTTGGTGTAAATGAACGGCTGACAAAAGCTAATAAGAGGTCACAACAGAACCAACTGAGAATTGATCCTTGTAGAGGAGAAAGAAAATGTGCCAGGAAAGGGTTGTTTTGACGGCAACGGTGTTCCGCTTAAAATCTGTAACTAAGACAACCATTGAATGTTTCAAATGCTACTTACTTCCTTCCCATTAGGATTTCTCATAACAACACCATCAACGACAGGAGACTTCCTTGCTTCAGCATGAGCATATTCAGGACCAACTGTATACACCTACAGTCATTTGTCAAACATTAGAAAGACCGTTCTAATAAGGTTGAAGGTATTCAGAAACATGTCAGAAATATTTGGAATACACTTGGCTACAAAATAAATTAAAAAAGAGCATAAAATAATATAAATTTAAAAACCCAAAACCTTAACATCTGTCCCTCCAGTTGGCATAAACTCCTCATAAATATAGGAACCTTCACGCCTCACTCTCCGCACCTCTGAATGGAACTCACTGGACCTATTACCAACCTATGATGATGTAACACCAAAACTAAGACCACTTCCATTAAATTATATTTCAGTCATATGACTCATAAAAGAAAGAAAGGAAACCAGATCAAAAATCAAGTTGAACAATAAACTATCTCAAAACTCACGTTATTATGTAAAAAGAGAAGGCCTATAAATGTTCTGATTTGTTAACAAAGTTTATTTGCTTTTTAAAGATTTTATTGCAATATAATCACTAGAGAAAGAAGAAAAACATTCTGACCAAGTTAACACACCCACTTAAAATTATAATAAATTGATGCTCATTACATTGATTAAAGCTATCCATCCCTTCTGTTTATTAAATATGAAGGTAACCAAAACAGCTTAGTCACAACCTTTTCAACAAATCTGTTGGAAAAGGATGTCTTCTAGAACATATTACTTGTGGAAAGTGAGTTTTCAGCCTACAGCTCACCTTCCTAAATAGTTCCTTCATACCTCCACCTGCTGAGCTGGGATAATATATCATTATACTGTGGTTATCAGCTTCAAAAAGGCACAAAAAAAAAAGTCACTACAATGTCTAAGATAAAATATTTCCAATCATTGGGAATGCATGTCAAATCCAAATACTTGCATGATAAAGGCATCTTGGAGAATATAACTTTCATTCATTTAACATATATGGTTCAAAAAGAAACAATGTTAATTAACTTTATTCTGCAGTAACAAAATTCATTGAAGCACTTCATAACTAAATGTCAATAAGTTAAGCCAAAACACATGGAATGTACAAGTTCTAATGTTTCATTTATCTAATATCACAAATAAACTTGGGTTTTATACACAACACCCAGTGACGGAAAATCATAGATTATCTTTATTTCAATGATATATTCAGCAATGATATGCAGTCACGTAGTTGACTTCCCTTGTTTCAAGCCATGTAAAAGGTCCAGATGTAATAATCAATTAGAACAGAGTTGGAATTTGTGACTAAAAGATGCAAACTATGTTATCCTTTTATAGGTCTTGCATTTAGACGACACGATGACGATGAACAAGTATTTACATCACACTCAATTCTAGCTATTGTGTGTCAATGCTATCTTAAATTGGAATATCAAATTGGTGTCCATGTTGGCTTTGTAGTAATATTTATGTTTTATTTTCTGCATATTTTTCGTTTCCACTCTCCATATCTTGTGTTGACATCTGTGCTCCATAGAAGAAGGAAAAAAAAAGGCGAAAGGATTATGATTACACGAATTTTTTTGAAAGAGTTTCAGCAAGAAATAAGCTTACCATCAACAGGCTTCTCAACAAATGGCTTCCAGAAACGCATGCCATGCACTTCAACATAATCTTCTTCCTCAATAAAGTAATCAAGTTCTTGGTACGGGACTTCCCTAATTACAAGGGCATATCTTGGAACAGGGATTCCAAACCGTTCGAGATGCTTGAAGCCAAAAATCGAACGTGACAACAAAATAAATATTTAAAATAATTAGCATAGTGTATTTTGAGTGATTCTTCTTACATTCACAGTTAACATTAATGAACAGAAATAGCATTTTCACTGTGTTTATATGAACAACAAGGGACGCGGGGGATGATGAGACAGAAATGACAAGCAGAATAGTCCAAGACCAAGAAAGTTTTAAGAAGTGGTTAATCGAAGACCAAGACAGCTTATAAATAGCATTTTTTTCCCCTCCCCTTAGCTACACATGAACAATATTTCTTAATCGAAGACCAAGACAGCTTATAAATAGCATTTTTTTTTCCCTCCCCTGGCTTGGTTTGGCTTCACACTACAAACAACACATAATAATTGGACCTATAACACAAATGAAGAACGACATAAAGGCCAGGATATAAAGCCAGACCTCTAAAGAAAAGGAAACTGCAAAATGTGAACCACATTTATTGCTTACCAACTACAACCACATAGCATATTAAAAATATTAGAGAAAAAAAAAAGGCTCTGCCATAACTGATTTTAACATTGAATTTAAAGCACGAAAAATATTACGTATCTCACTTACCTCGTATACATTCCTTCGGTCATGAAGAAGGTGTTGGGGCTCCAGTTCATTTATAAGGTAAGGTCTGAATTACAGGCATAAGTAGTTTTTAGATTGATCTATAAACCTTTGCATCCAAATATTCAAAGTGAAAACACAACAAAAGTAACAAAGGGAGATACCGAGTGCGGAGAGATTATCTTAAGAAATTAGATAGTACAAATATTAAGTGAGCCTTATCACCATCTAAAAGACATATCAAATAAAACAGAAAAAAACCAAAATGAACTCTCATCCAAGTGTTTTCCACTTACAACTGAGCCATAACTATGATCGCCCTTTGCTAACAAATAGGAATGACCCATTTACGATTGTACCCTCCTAATTATTATGTAAGAAAATCCTTCTAGCTAACTAGCAGACTGCTTAAGTCTCCCTAAAAAATTATCTTCTCTGCCTTTCTCAACAAGATCAATAAAGTTTGCAAAGGTTTCAAACTCTTCCAAGTTAGATTGAATGTTTGGAGAGTGTTTGAGCTTCCCATATGTAGTTTGTGATGGTAAACACAATTTTTCCAAGTTTTAACATGATTGGTTGAAATAAAATAATATCAAGTCTACATCTGAAAATGTGAATAAAATGTAGTTTCTATGTTGGGTTGAAAGTTTCATAATAAGTTCTACTACAAACTTTACTTACGAGATGAAAGTTTACAAACATAAGTCATATTATTTCAAATCCAATTTCAACAAAATCAGTATAATATAAAACCAAATTTGCACAAACTCATCCAAACACACAAAGTCTAGTTCCAATTTCAACAAAATCAGTTTTATTAATTCTCAAGGAGCAGCAATTTTCAATATCTTATCTCAGAGTTACAGCCACTCCATCATCCCTCTTTTGTCTTCCCTATAGATATCCATGAGCAAAGCAAAAGAGAGTATCCAAAATCATATCTAAAGTAAAAGCAATGAGATGCTCTTGAGAATATAAGCATTCTTCTTAACCAAATACACAAGAGAACAAAGGTTTTTGAAAAGGTTATTGTCCTAAGGATGACATAAATGTATTGCCATGTTTCATCAGCACTTCGCCATCATGAGTGTATTTGACCATGAGCCTATAAGTATTTCCCGAACTTATAATTGCATAATCTTATTGGTGTGAAGCTGTGAGCTAAGGAAATATACCAGAATCTTGGAGTATCACCAAAAGTTTTGGTGGTAGTTATTGTATATATGATTTGAATGAATATGAAGTGATTCTTGTATTCTCCGTAGACTAAGAAAACAAATTATGTGTTGTAAACACTATAAAGGTGGTAAAAAGATATTTTGATTATCTTATCCTATATAGGCTGATTACTAAAAAGATATGTGACATGCAAATAAACTAAAGTTGGTAAAAAGCTTACTTCCTTAAAGCAGCATATGCTTCAGCCTTTTTGAGGGGATATCCAGAGGAATAGAAAGCAATCAAACAATCACATATAGGCCAGCTGAAAAAACAAAGTGTATGGCCTGATTACTAAAATGGCATTGACTAAAATAAAATAATCCCACTCACACTCAAAATACCATGTGCAAATATAATTCATGTTATTACATCACGGCATTCTTAGCCTTCAGCTTATAATGAAAGTCATAAGACTTTTGAGTAGCAAATTTACAAATGAGTCAAAAAAATTAAAATGGAGCTGTAAAGCAAGTTAAGCACAGTCGTTCTTCAAAATCTGTAGGGTTAAAAAATGTTTCAATCTATTGAAATCAACTATAGTACCTCTCTATTGGGTCTTCAAGGATCACCTTGTCTCCAAAATGTATGACCTATAGATAATACAAAATATCAATAGAATTAAATAAACAAAAAATACATTGAAAAAATGGAATGCACAACTATAAGGGACCATTGAATATTTCTTTTACAAAACAAATCTGTATGTGTGTGTATCACTAGAACCATTGAATATTGCCATGTTATCTTAATCATCACACATACTAAATGGTATATTAGATACATTAAACATTGGTAGTTTATGTGATTTTATAATAGACATTTGTTTTATTATATGTTAATTTGAAGAAATATCTATAGTTATCAAATCAAATTTTATGAAATTTCATAAACTTAATCTACTCAATAAAAACAGTATTTGTTTCTTTTGGAAAAATATTACTAGTATTAGTTAAAAAAAATTCTTAATTTTTATAACAAATAAAACAGAGCATTAAGAAAAGAAATGAAATAATCGAAATTCTATTGTTTCAGGTATATTCATGAACAAACGAAATCCAAATTCCCAAATCAACAGAACATCAACAAAACAGAACTTAGAAGAACTTAGAAGAAGCAAAGTAAAACACATTCAACTCGCCTCAAATTCTCCAAACGCTTGTAACCTGTCAAATATCTGCCCCATGGGTGCAGAAACTACCTGCAAAAAACACAGCCCAAAATAAAAACCTGAAAATCAGAGCCATTAAATCACAGTATACAAAGTTTCAGTCACCATTCACCAGATACATAGACGAATGCAATATCAATCACATGTAAACACAGATATATGAACAAATTTGGCCGAATATAATTTGAAAAAAATAAAAAATAAAAATGAAAATAATTGAATGTATTCAAATCGTGTCATATATGAACACATTTCTCCGAATCTAGCTCGCATCAATCTTGTAAACTCAAAACAGATACATAAACGTGATAATAATCTGAGGAAATATAAGCGATTGAATATAACTATTCTATCGTACAAGAACACTGATACACTCACATACACCTTCAAATTTGGTGCTATATACTGCAAAATTGAAGAAGAAAAAACAGAGAGAGTGTGAAGAAAAAGATGAAACAGAGAGAGCCCCGGGGCTACATTTCACCTTCTTTTCCATTACACAGACGCCGATTTTGATTTTCTCGGTAATTTCCATGATCGCCGATGAACGGAATAACGTACTCTATCGCTCGAAGCTGCAATTGATTAATCGCTTTTTTGAGCTTTTGCGTTTGCGTTTCAACAAACTTTGGCTTTTTGTTGTTGTTAGAATCAAATGGCGCGAATGCGAGAAAGTAGTAGAGCATGTAAGGGAAAGGAATGGGCGTAACTGAATCACCGCTTTTTCCGGGGAGAGGAAATAACAACACGTGATATGTATGTAGGAAGCGAGAAAGTGACGGAAAATATTTGAGTGAAGGAGACTGTGCGTATTTAAGAGATTATAGGAAAAAAAATATAAATAAATAATTAAACGGTTTGTGAAGCAGTGAAAAGCATAGTCGTAAAGAAGAGAGCATTATATTACTTCTCACTTTCGGAAAAGTCACAATTGTTTTAGAAGTATATTTTTTACACACATGTCCGAATGAGTCGTTGAAAAAAATTTTATTATCTGTTTCGGTGTTTCGGAGATGCATCTCCGTATTTATAAAAGATTAATTCGAATATGTATTTTAGTAACTATTATTAGCTTGATATTCGATGAATTTTTTTAGAGATTTATCTATGTTCAAATAGTTCAAATCCAATGAATAATGAAGAATGAAAAAATAATATAAATTAACATTAAAATAATCATTACATAATTTTTAATGTTAACATAAATTTAACATTACATGTTATTAGAAACGGGTGGTTTAGGATATTGCAATATTTTTATAATATCTTCGAATGATTTTGTAATTGTCACATCCGCTTCAATCGGACCCTTTGTTGAGTGACGATAAGAGCAACTTTACATAACCTTTAAATCATCATCTATTTTCGGTTCAAGCATGATAGACTGTATTTTCCCTTCGTTATCAATCGAGGATGAACAGTATTTAAGCTTTATAACTCTTCAATTTTCTGGATATCACATGAGAGTATTCTGTTTGAATTTCAAACAGACGAGAAGTATGTCCTTTAAAACCCTAAACTGAAGTTGGGGATTTGCGTCATTGAAAAACAAAAAGGCAAGATGGATATATGTATTTATTATGGTTTTTGCAAAGAAAATAGAATAGATACCTCTATTTATGAAAGTGGTAGATCAAATTGGACCATATAAACCATATCTTTTCATTAGGACATATTTCAGATATGCATCTCTGGATACGCCAAATAAGGGTCTTTACGGAGATGCACGTCCGTATAGTCCCTTGTATTCTTTTTTTAATAATTAAAATGTGTGTCTTGATATGCATTACCAAGCCCACCCAAATCACTGTTCATACAAAATCAGTGTATTTTGCAATGCAAAATTTAGAAACACAAAAATTATCCACAAAATACCACCCAATTTTATAACATTATGGACAATATTACATGAAAAAAAACGAGATAATTGTTAGATTAAAATTAAAATGTATCAAAACATGTGTCACTATTTAAATCTATTGGTGGTTCATTCTTTAACCTTTCCTTATTTACTTCTCTTTCAACGGCGCTTAATCGGGTGAACCCCTCCATCCTTTCTAGAGAGTTATTCGGCCAAGTTTCAGCATCTTATGTGAAATGTGTCATCCACTCAAGTGATGTCTTTGGTATAAGGTATCTCGATTTCAAATAAGCATGAACAAAATGTTGTGTTTTTGAAAGTCACCTAATACATATGATGCGTCCGAATGGATTTTGAGGTGACCTAATCCAAAATGGAAAAAATATTTTTGAGAAATCGTATCTTATCAGATCAATACACATCTTATCATAAACACTTACTATAAGATATCTAATTTCAAACAAGTGCATCCATTTGTCAAACGGTGTTGGACTACTAAGACAAGAAACAATAGCATTGAGAATTACATCGTAATTTTATTTTTTTTCTCGTATACCTTTGTATATGATTCCCTCTGTGCCATCATCTCTCCTCACCTCTTTTACCCAATAAACCTCAAACAACTCAAAAACCACAGTTATCATCATCTTCAACATCTACATTTTGCTCAGTATATTTATGCATAAAAAATGACATTTCTTCAATATGGATGATTTTTGGTAACGGTGGTGGAAGAGACGGTTTGCTAATGTGAGCACCCTTAAAAACACTTTTTGGAATTTTGGAGTCAGAGATTTCAGAAAATGTGAGTCAACATGTTCAAAGTATGAAGGAGATTGTCTCGTGGAATTGTCACTTTGTGTCAGTTTGACCTTGTTAGGTGCACCCTTTATTTTAACCGGTTCCGACGATGGTTTCAAATTTGTTGTTTCTGGATAGAAAATCTTCCTCAATTACTCTTTGACATGCAATTTCATGATGTCGTCGCCTTTCATGAATCTCCCTTAGATCACTTCCCACTTGGTCATAATAGATATGTTTGATTTATCATCCTTCATCATATCATCGTCATATCATCAAAACGAAGCCTTTTTCAATGAGTGAAAACTTCATCCATACGTATTGGTTTTTCAAGATTCATCTTCTTTGAAATTAAACAAGCACATGGAAGTGTTATGGCTATTCTGGGGATTAACACGAGGGAACATTTTACACTTTTGGACTTTTTCTTTAAGAGTAACATACCTTTGTGAGAGACACACATCACATACTCACTCAAAACCTTAAGGTGATGGGCGTGTGGATTCTCCCACTTATAAATGCTCAAGTCTCCATATTTCTAACAAATGTGGGACTTCCCTACACTACTCATACTTGTTATTCTCAAAATTCTCCCTAAAGTGTGGATTTGTCCATAATGGTCCCCCTCAAGCAGAAACTTTTTTTTTCATCACGTACACTTGTACCGCGTTGACACTTTTCAACGAAACACTCTACCCGGGACCAAGTGTGGATACTTTCGATACAAGTGAGTCGGTCCTTTCACTTGAACCAAAGACTCGTGATACCACTGTTGAAGAGTCAGAGAGACTCGGGAGAACTAGTGAGATTAATGCTCTAGGACCACAAGAGAGGGACACACCACATCTCCACCTAAAACCTTGAGGTTTTTGGTGAATATGTGGTGTCTCTCTCACTTGTTTAGGTGAATTTTTGACCTGCAGCTGAGTGTTAAGCCAATGTGTATGTTTCCCCCTCGTGATGACCCATCAGTGGTATCAAAGCCTGGTTCAACTTTGTGGTGGAACGGGAGTTGGATTCGGTGTTGGATATTGTTATAGAATATAGGGGACTCACACTTATGAAGGAGAATGTTGGGTGAAAGTGTGAGTGATTAAAGTCCCACAATGTCTATGAATGGGTGGAATGTTGTATTTATGAGAGAGAGAGAGAGAGATCACATTTACCTAATACCTTAAGGTTTTTAGGTGAATATGTGGTGTCTCTCACACTTTTTTGGGTGAGTGTTTAACCAAATGTGTATTCTTCCCTCCTCATGATGACCCATCAGTGGTATTAGAGTTTGGTTCGAGTGAAGAACCAACTCACTTGTATCGAAAGTACTCCTTATATATGGTGGGTAAAAGGTGTCCCATTTAAGAGTGTCAAGAGAGGTACAAGTGCATATGGATGAAAAGAGCTTCCACTTAAGAGGTAGCATTGTGGATAGACTCACACTTGAGGGGGAGTTTTGAGAATAATAAGTGTGAGCAGTGTGGGAAATTCCCACATTGGTTAGAAATATGGAGACTTGAGTATTTATAAGTGGGACAACCCACACATCTATCACTTTAAGATTTTGGGTGAGTATGTGGTGTATCTCTCACAAATGTGTGTTACTCATAAAAAAGGAATACCCTAAAGTAAAAATGCTCTCTCGTGTTGACCCCTCAAATTGACCCCAACAGGAAGACCATATGTTTTCCTAAGTGTACATCCACACTTTGAGCTATATGAACATGTTTTATTTGCTCGCTTGATTTCGTGAAAAATAAAATTCAATGTCGTCTGAGATACATTGGCAATTAACATTGAATAAAGGATGTTATCTTTGAATTGGTGTTCTAACATAGTAATGCTCCTACCAAAAGATGTTTGTATTTCGTTATGTTGGTTTCTGAGCATTTGGTTAACGGCATCCCAATCTCGACAAAAATCACTTTTGTTGTTTCCGACCCAATTCTTCAGTCTAGCATGTAAAGATTTAACTTTGTTAGTTGTTGTATTGCCAAAGTGCCTAACCTGGTCGGCCCATGCATAAACAATATTCTCTCTGATCGGGTCTAAAATAGTGTCCTCAACATATTTCAAGAAATTTGAATATCTTGTGCACACCCTCCTGAAATGTATTACGGATCCAGTATATAATTCTCGCGTGGAAGAATTTATCATATCATTCCATGCATCTATTATCTTTTCCACCACAACACCAGGTTTGGCAATTTTTCATGTCATCACCTTTGATTTGTTTGGTACCAACCGCAGGTTTTAGTCGACTTCTCACATTTTTGGTTATGTGATACTTACAGAGTAATGCATACAATGTAGAAAATACCATTGCAACCAAATTCATCAGTGCAGTGTCATGATCGGCGATTATTACTTGTGGCATGTTCTCTTGGACTTTCATCATAGTTTTGCACATTTTCATAATCCATTGTCATACCCCAACTTTGTCCGGACATTTTAAATTTTTTATGCATCTGACTTTATTTTTACTTTGCATAGTATAACATGCATTTCATCTCGCGTAGTGCCTAAAATGTCACATAAAATAATTTCTCGAATTTACAGACAGACTGGTCAAAATAAATTTTAACTGTGTGTAAAGTCAATGAACAAAAAATTAAAAATCGAGATTACAAACCTTAATTATATTAATCTACGGTTCACGTAGTTTAATCTGTCATGCTTATTTTATTTTTTCGACTATTTTTCGATCGCATATTGATCAGTTTGAGAATTTTAACGGGTCAAAATTTATTTTAAAATTTGACCAGACGCTGTATTTTTTCGAGTCATTTATTTCACGTTGATCATTTTGGTGCACTCAACTTATTTTTTAAGCATTTTCGCGCCAGACTTTTATTTATTTTAAGTCCGTTTATTTTTAC